TAATAATCAAGGAACTTTGCTGCCGTACCATGTGTGCAGCAGGCGCAATGATATTACGCAGCGCCTGAAAATAGTCCCCAGCACGCTCCCTGTGCAAGCAGGTGGTCATGTTGGTTATGTTGACGGAAGTTAGCCTATTTTCAGGCGCTGCGTAATATCATTGCGCACCCTGTAATATCATTTTTGAGCGAGATGCTAACGGTATAATCAGATTCAATGATCTATGCTAAGCTACAGCTAAAAGTGCTACCGCCAGACCCAGAGATCGGCTGAATGGATTCGAAAACGGTAAAACTCAACTGTTTAACTCTAGGGGAGTTGGAAAATGAGCCTATTTTCAAAAATAGTGGCGTGTTCCTTTAAGCCTTGTTCAGAATGTCAGTCCAAATCCAATTATATGTACGTACGATTGGAATCTGATTTAAATTATTTCAAACCACATATGAACGTGGCTTGAAACGGATTTGTAAAAATCTTATTAAATCGTAAATCATATAAAAAGTTGTATTTGATCATTCCAAAGCTTAAACACTGTCAATTCAGCAGTTTTGAAATAGGACATTGTATTACCACGAAAATGGTACTTTAAATCCTTTTAACCTAGAAAAGAAAGGTCTTGGTCAAGGATCCATATTTGGTGTCTGTTTTGTGAGAAAAGTAATGTTGTGACAAAAATGTATAAATTTGTCAGAGGAAAATTCATTAAAATAAATTTGGGTGTCACCTGGTGGCTATTTTTGGTATAGTGCCTAAACAATATCTCACAGGAACCTAAATTTTTGTAATATCACCTTCAAATTTGGAACATAAGTTAGTTAGACATATGGCTTTGATTTATATAGCAATTTTAAATTCCAAAATATTTTGTAAAATATTTATTTTATATAAAATAATTTTTTTTAGTAAATTAAATTTATGTAACTTTACTTTTTATATGTGCATATATATATATATATATAATATAATGTGATATTTATTTAAATATGTTTTAAAATACTATATTCAAAATCGCGTAATTGCGTAACTTCAAATTCTGATAAAGGATTGTGCACCTCTCCATAACCTGTGAACCCTGCTTAATTTTTCCACTCTAGAGCTCACATGAATTATTCAGTACTGGGCATTGTGTTGGTGGACATGGTGTTGATTTTCCTGTGCCACTCATCTTTATGCTGTTCCAGACAAGACAAATAAGGAGTCAGTGAGGGCAATCCAGAAGAGCATCTTCACAGTATGTCTTGACGCTCCAAAGCCACGTGTGTCAGATGAGATGTACTTTAACAAGGTGGCCGCACAAATGCTCCATGGCGGAGGCAGTCGCTGGAACAGTGGGAACCGCTGGTTTGACAAAACACTGCAGGTTACTATCATGCACTTATAGCCACAAATATATGACCATTGAATCCAGTGTATGTTCACAGGGTAGATATATAGGGATATTCCTCTGCACCTGGGCTCTTTTCTGTATCCCACAGTTCATAATTGGGGAGGACGGATCGTGTGGACTCACCTATGAACATGCTCCGGCTGAGGGACCTCCCATTGTTTTCCTGGTGGACCATGTTGTTGACTATATGTAAGGTTATGACATAATTTAATTCTTAATGAGATTTAAAAAATATTTTACACTACCATTCAAAGTTTAGGATCGGTAAGATTTTTTAATGTTTTTTTCTCTTGCTCACCAAGATTTAATGTATTTGATCAAAAATACAATAAGACAGTAATACTGTGAAATATTATTACAATTTAAAATAACTGTTTTCTATTTTAATATATTTTAAAATGTAATTTATTTCTGTGATGCGAAGCTACATTTTCAGCATTGTTTCTCCAGTCTTCAGAGTCACACGATCCTTCAGAAATCATTCTGATATGCTGATTTCTTATTATTATCAGTTGAAAACAGTTGTGCTGATTAATATTTTTGTGGAAACCATGATACATTTCTTCAGGATTCTTTGATGAATGTAAAGTTCAAAAGAACAGCATTTATTTGAAATAGAAGTTTTATAGAATTTGATCAATTTAATTTTTGATAAAAAAAATTGGTAAACAGTAGTATAAATGTATTAATTAACAGGTATGCACCAATACTGATAAGCCAATAATTATTTTCATGTAACAGATGTGTAATATAAAAATCTTGCACTGTTGTGTCTTAATACATTAATAATATATAATATAATAACAGTAAAAAAAAATAGTTTATCATTTTAAATGCTAGTTTTAAAGGCATCATAACATTATAACAGTATTAAAATTAATATTCATTTGGAGATTTGCTGAAGATTACATTTAACAGTGTTATGAAATTATTATTATTATTTTTTAAGATTAACTTTAAGGGAGTGTATATGATGAATCTAATAATCTAAATGCACACTCAAACACCAAATATCAACCACCACCAATAAATCAAAACACCGATATAATGCGCTTCCCTAAACACAAGGCCCTGAATAGGTTTGATAATGTAGAGTTGTTGCATTTTTGTGAAAGTATCGTTGTTCAGAAAGGTTGTAGATAATATGTCATGCATCATGTGTGTAATAGGAAGAGATCTGAGATGGTTCGAACTCCCATGATTCCACTTTCTATGCCACAAAAGCTTCGATTCAACATCACACCAGAAATCAAGAAGGACATCGAGAAAGCCAAACAGAACATGAACATGTGAGCACATTACTGTTATAATGGTGTTTAAATCGACACTCACCTGTAATAAATTAATATTCCATAATGTACAGGTACTTCTGTAATCCTCTTATATCCTCTGTCTAGAATGGTTCATGACCTGGACGTTCGAGTGCTCAACTTCACACACTATGGAAGAAAATTCCCAAAGTCTCATAAAATGAGTCCTGACGCATTCATCCAAATGGCTCTTCAGTTGGCATACTACAGGTGAGTTTGTCGTCCTAGTGCTGAATAAAGCTCTAAAACCTCTGATCAACTACCTCTAAAATCCCTAGTCCTTCAGATAGCAGTTGTTCACATCCCAATGGCTTCTCTCACTTCATTTCCTAGGTTGCATGCATGCCATTTATGCCACATTTCTTCTTGTCAACATCTTTAAAGGTCAAGTATGTAATTTTTTATGTTAAAATACTTTCTTCTGACTTAGTTTCATGTGAAGAGTGATGTAAGCCATTTGTAGGTTGACTTCCTCCAAGAGTTTAAACACTGAAGTTCTGTTTGTTTGAATGGTCCAACATTATCAGTCAACTTCTGGCTCAAGCAGAGACGTGAATCTGGGGCAGCATTATCTGTATAGGTACCTACATAGCCAAAGGGGGTTTGGAAACCGTATTTTTTGCTATTCTGTTTAGTGCCACTAGTGGTGTATAAATTGCATACTTCGCCTTTAAAACATGCAATTCATTCAGGAAGTGAAGAATTGCAGAAACTGATACAAAATTGCTTTTTTACTAAAATTACTAACACCAACTTATATGAGGGTTTTTTTAATGTTTTCACAAAGTATAAAAGTTGCACGTGGATAAAAAAATACCTGTGATTAGGAAACCTGTGTATTTATTCAAATTAAAGTGTGGTACACTCTTAAAAATAAAGGTGCTTCAAAAGGTTCTTCAAGCGATGCCATAGAAGAACCATTTTTGGTTCCACAAAGAACCATTCAGTCAAAGGTTCTTTAAATAACCATCTCTTTCTTACCTTTTTGTAATCTGAAGAACTTTCTTTCGCCACAAAGAACCTTTTGTGAAACAGAAAGGTTCTTCAGATGTTGAAGGTTCTTTATGGAACCATTTAGACAAAAAGGTTCTTCTATGGCATCGTGAAGCACCTTTATTTTTAAGAGTGTAAGGTATTGGTCTTTTTTGTGTCATTGTGTTCTTCAGTACCCCAAAGATTGCTAACTGACAAGAAATGCAAGGTGTTTACATATGTACCTATAACCACGCCAGTCCACTTGATTTGATCTTGTTCCTGTGTTAGGATGTATCAGACATGCTGTCCGACCTACGAAAGCACCTCCTTACGCATGTTTAAACTGGGCAGAACTGAAGCCATTCGATCCACCACCACAGAATCGCTCCAGTTCACAAAAGCCATGGATGATCCATCAAAACACGTACAAGTTTACATTTTAGTAGTGTTCTCATTTGAGTAAGTTTTGTGAATTTTCGATGTTACTTATTTCCATATTGTTTCAATTTGCAGAATAGTGAGAAAGCAGCACTGCTCGAAAAGGCCATCAAAGTCCACAGAAAGCACACACACATGGTGAGCGTTGTTAGATTTTGCTGAATTTGGCTGAGCAATCGTTTGGGTGGCTTTTCAATGTACTAGATTTCTCTAATACATAAAATAAGTAAGCTTGACCTAAGCTCTTGTGGGGAGAAACATTTATTGAAGGTAGCATTGTAGCAGTTCTTCAGCAGCGATGTTAGCATGTCAAACAATCTTAACCCAAGGTACTGTCTGTGAGACCAGACCTTTATACCTGGTAACAAATGTGCTACAAACAATACAATAACAACCCATGGAGAGCCAATGATAGTGTGACCTCATGACGACCTGATAAGACCTCTCCCATGGAGAGCCCACGCTAATTATATGGGTCACACCTTTGTAAACAGAGTTTCAGTTGATTGCATCTGAGGCACAGTCACAATGTGAATGCATCTGAATTGAAGTACACATAATCTTTCAGTGTCATATGATCTTAAAGGGGAGGTCTAATGCTATTTCATGCATTCTGACTTATTTACACTGCTAAAGAGTTGGATTCTCATGCTTAACATGACCAGAGTCTCAAAAAAATTTCTGTGTCAAATACACTCCTTCAGGGTTTGTATAAGTTTCTTTTGAGTATGCATGACGCCATAAAGGGTGGACTTCCTTATATGGGCTCTTCTCCCAGAAGAGCACACGAGCACAGCAACCAGAGCGAGAGCAAGAGTGCAACGTGCTTCATCTGGGTTACTGAAGTCTGTATCTAATATATATGGCTGGATCTGATTTTTAGCCATAGTTAATTAAAGTCAATAAAATTTTTGTTCCCGTTTTATTCATGTCGATGTTACAGCTTGCAGACGATTACTACGCAAAAGCTTCTTGTTCTTGTGACTCTTTAGTTCTGCCCACGGCACGCCTCCAGGAGCTCGGCTGTTTTCGGAATCGTAAAGCTGTATCTTTCTTTTATAAATCTGATAAAACTAAAGACTCTTCAGAGATATGAAGGATGCAATACTACTCTATAGTATGATTAGGTTGGCAGAAACTGTGTGTTATGTCCCCTTTAAAATATTTACACGTTTGTTATGTTACCAAGAAATCTCAATAAATATTATCTAAATTATTTTTTAGCTTATTTTATTTTATTGATGCTGTTACAATTTTGCCTCCTCCTGATCTCAGTTTTTGTTTCCTTGTGATCAGGCCATCCATGGGCAGGGTATAGAGAGGCACATGCTGGGTCTAAAGATGATAGCTATTGAGGACCTGACGTCTTTACCTGAGATCTTCATGGACACGTCGTTCGCTGTGGCTTCACATTTTAATCTGTACACAAGTCAGGTTTGTAAATTCGGTTCTTGACGGCTACTCCAGACTACGTACACACCGCATTTAAATACGGTTGTCGCTTCTCTTCTGGGCACTTAATAACAATCTATATACACAGAACTTGGCAATTTATGGAAATTAGCTTGGAATTGATTCACTCTAATGCCATCTTATAATGAATTATATCTTGTTTATCTTTTTCAATATGATGAAAGTGAGTGGGAGAGTTGGGTTTGTCAAGAAAAGCATCATAAAGTAACCATAAGTCCACATACATTAATACTCAAGGTTGCTTTCTCCAAAAACTGCTGTAATTTAGTTTTACAAGACTATTTCCAACATTTAACAAGCTTGTTTTTTTTGCTACTGTACCTTTAAGACTTCTATATGCATATGACCTCTGGTATTATTAGCTAGCCTCTTTGCATGGGAAATGAGTTGCAGTGCTTTCTTACATCTTGTGGGTTTGCATAGTTGGCCTGCTTTACATTGTGTCCGGTTCACAAAACAAATGCTCACACGGTTTAGGCTGAAGTGATGAGATAAGGGACCTTTCTACAAATAGACTTAAGCTGCTCGTAACATTGAGCTCCTTCTAAGGAGGTTATATGCACTAGCATAAAGGTTATACAGTATGCACTAGCATAAGTGCTAACCCTAAACCAGGAACAGCACAATGCTTGGTAGAATCCCAAAATCAAGATAAAAACAAATAATAGTACCCTCTTCTGGTATATCTATGCTACTTCCTTTCTAAATACTGAATATGTACTGATAATCAGGTTTGTCCCGGTGGTTATGGTTTTGTTAGAGACTCTTGTGTAACAGTGTCTCACTGTCATGTAATACCTTGCAAGTCATTCTGCCTAGTTGATGCCCTTTGATATAGTTTACACTACAGATACATAAATCTGACAGATGCTTTTCAGAGGACACTTCTGTGCTGCAACAGCTTTTAGCTTCAGTTAAAGCAAGGATTGTTTTGGAATGTATTTACAACTGTACTGGGATAACAATATTGATGATAACTGTGATATTTAAGAAATAATATTGATATCTTGTTAATACTACACATACAGTAATCACATACATCTCCTCTATTTCTCTCATACTTCCTCCACGTTGAACCGTTATAGAGGGCATTAGCTTAGCATTCAAGCCGAGCCTCGGGTTTGAGCCTCCTTTAAGTACAGCAAGCTAAGTTTGTTTACCATTATCTATCAAGACTAAATGGGCAGGTGAACATGTGAACCAAGGAAAAAAGAAGACAACGACTCAGTCGCTTTATAAAAATATGCATACTTCCCTACTATGTAGTAGGTGAAAAACAGTATGTGAAAAGAGTAGCTTGTCTGAATTCACAGTATTCATTATACCCAAGTGAATTAAGGTGCAGTCGCATTTACCATTGTTCAGCAAACTTGTGTGGGTGAAATCCAGTAATTTCAATAGGAATCCATAAGATACAACAGAAATTTACTGCTGAAGGCAAAACATTTCTGCATACAGATGTCGCAATGGGTTCAATTTGGACACATGGATTCGCTGCTTTGACTTGTCTATTGACAATAGACAATGAACCTTTATTGCCTGCAAAATGTCCTGAAATTTTACTAATGTGACTGCACTTTACAACTTCTGACAAGATTCTACACATTCTATTGGCACTTCACTATCCCGTGAGGCCATGGGAGAGGATTTGTGATAGAGCCCGACCGATATGGGTTTTTTGGGGCCGATACCGATATTAGGGAGTAAAAAAAGGCCGATATCGATATATCGGCCGATATTATTTGTGTATATTATAGTACAGTACCAGTCAAAAGTTTGGACACTTTCCCATTCGTGTGTCCAAACATTTGACTGGTACTATATATAGAATACAGTATATACATAAAGAGAATATATATACATAAACAAATTTTTTGCAATGATCACTCAAATGTGGTGATCAAACACTTATAATGGTGACAGAGATATGTAATGGAGGCATGGCATTTAACAATTTAACAATAAACTTTATTATCCAAAATGAGTCTGACATCAGTGCACTAAACAGTAAAGTTGAAGTTTATTCAACTTCAATTCAATTCCATTCAACTTTATTCCGTTGAAGTTTATTTCACTTCGGAACATTCATTCATGGATTTGCGCCACCCACCTCGTGTCGGTAGCCCCCCGGGTTCGCTTGATCGGTCGGCGCCGGACCGCGAATTTAACCACCCGTAACTCCCAACCCCCGGGGGCTATCGACGCGGGGGTTGTCTCATTCAAAAGCAGGCCTCTAGACATGCACTCGATTCGCATTCGAGAGGGTTCCTTGAGCTGAAGGGATACCCCGAATTTGGTGCAGATTCGCCGCGCCGTTACGGAGATATGGCCGTTCAAACTTTCAATGGTTTTCCATGGACTTAAGCTTTAAAGCGTTTCATCCAGGTCACCAGTAGCAAACAATGGAGCAAATCTGCTGGACAAACTAAGTAATTACACCATTTCAAGCATTTTATCTGTGTTATATGTTCTGTAAAAAAAAAAATTCATATCGGCGGCATATTCGGCCATACCGATATATCGGCGAAACGATATATCGGTTGGGCTCTAATTTGTGATGCAACTAACGCTGGTACTGTAGGTCACAGGACAATGACAAGATGAATTACATTCATACTACACACATTCACACTATATAGAACAGACTTTTTTAAACAGTCGCAAAGTAATTGCTTATTCTAAAGAAGTACCTACTTAGAGAGTATGCAATTTCGGACGCAGCCAGTTTAGCTACTACTGCCGCACAAAATCACGTCAGAGGAGATGACAGATGAAAGCGAGACACTCGACCCACAGCTAGCCAGTTTTTTGGATTCCAAAACAAAATAAATTTAATGATGAATTAACATTCTTTGGGTGTACTGTCCCTTTAAGAGTTTGCATGCAGTGTAAATCTATCTGCTGTTGTTGTGAAATGCAGCATTTTTCATGTAAGCTGTGGTTGTATTCTTTGTTTTTCAGGTTGGATCAAAGACAGACTGTGTTATGTGTTTGGGACCCATGGTTCCTGATGGTTACGGTATCTGCTACAACCCCATGGATGACCATATCAACTTCGCTGTGACCGCCTTCAATAGCTGCGAGGAAACAAACGCCACGAAACTGTCACAGTTTCTAGAGGACTCGCTTCTGGACATGAAGACTCTTCTGGAGCAGGTGTCTAAGACCCAGTGAATGACGAAGCCCTGAAACTCACAGAAGCCCTGAAACCCTTTCAGGAGGCTTTTTACTACTTTCAGTGTCATTAACCTGACATTGGCTCATATTGGTTTTCCATATCTTTAAGGTCACATGTTTGATTTTTTTCATTATGCAGAGACTATAAGTAACTACAACACCATTCTTAGGGTGATTTCCTTGAAAAGTATAAACATTGTTACTATGTGGGGCTTTTAAACATTATTTGTTTGTTTGAGCAACCTGACCAGTCTGACACAGCGATGTTGACTCAGAAGTGTGGGTTTGGGGCTGTTTGTCTAAACACTAGAAGTCAGGAAACCGGTTTGAAAACAGTCATTATTTTCACAGGGTATATAGTGGCATAGAAATTACACACTTCACCTTCCAGGGAAGTGACTATGGACTTAGAGGCTACTACAGACATAAACAGGGACAGCCAGAAACACAAACTCCTTCTGTTTTATTTCAGTTTCAACTGTAGAAATTGTAGGCGTGAGAAAGCTCTTGATATTATCCAGTGCCATATGTTAAACCCAAAGTATACTTCAGTTTTTTACGTATGCGCTAGGGTACGTGTACAGTTGGTGTGACATCGATTTTGGCTTCAGTACATATCGCTCATACTGTACAAGTGCAATCTTTTTTTTATTTTTTTGACAGAACAAAAAATCCACATATAAACACATTACATACAGACACCGACATTATCATTTTATGTTATATTTATGTTTGTATTATTGATTTACTGTGTTTTTAACTTGTTTGTGTTGTTGCATTGTGGGACGAGAAACTAGAGGAAAACCATTTCACTATATTGCATCACATTTATATGTACAGTATGTGACAAATAAAGAATCCTAACTAACTCAAAAATGACAAGTAACTGCTGAAGAAGGTAAAAACCATATATGCCCACATTAATGAGCGCTTATGTGAGGGGATTAAAACATACCCTCAACTCTAGTTTAAACCATTTTTTATCGCTCATAACCGTTGGAAAGAAAAAGCGCAGACACTGGAAGAGGATGAATGTTTCCAGTGCACATGTGCATGTGTTTCCAGTGTCGAGCGCCTATGTTTGCACATGCTATCAAATGGAGTACACTTTAAAAGTCTGTCCGTTCGACTGTGCACATACACAAATGTACACGTAAAAACGAAGTATACTTATAAAAGTTCCACGGTAGTTTCACAAATGGTAAGTAGGACTGTTATGCTAAATTTAGAGCCATATGGACTTTTTCTAAATCACTTAAATATAAAAAAATGATGATTGTTTATTTTGTGCTGATAGATTAGCAGTAGGCCTGACACACATTATTGTCAGTTCACATAGATTAACTCATTACAATAAATATACAGAAGCACTTATATAAACAGTCAATTGTCTGATTTTTGTTTTTAAATGATATTAAAAACTGACATGATTATATCTTTGATATAAAGTTAATAAATCCCTATCATCTGTTCTGAATCAGTTGTGCTAAACTGGCTAAATTATAACGAGGATGATTTTTAAATGCTCCAAGGCTCTTTATGGACCAGAAGCTCTCTTACAGACTACACTGGTTGTTCTTCAGAAGGGTTAATGTATGAATACTCTGCCCTGAACATGCCCTTGATTTGCTGGTACTCCCCATGGAATTCCACTTCAGCCCTGCTTCCCGAGGAGCTCCACAGGAAGAGCCGAGTCCCTCTGAAGATGGTCGTCTTTAAGGCATCCACATCCCGAATCTGGGTAAGCGAAGAAAACATCAGAGTCACAGCATAAACATGTTTATGTTCAACCAATATGGGGCATCATTTACATCCACATTGTGTACCAAAGTTAGTGCTTGCGCAACTACTTATTTTTATTGGACGCCAGCTCAGTGTCTATCTGATGTAAATGACTCACAAAACAGTCCGTCATCAGTGTCCTTTTAATATGTTTTGTAAACGCAAAACGCTTGAGTTTCATTTAGTTCAAACCCTTATAGAGTCTACAGACAGCATGATTACATCTCTTCCTTTATCAGACAAATGATTATGCTTCTACACTACCGTACAAAGGTTTTGGATCTGAAAGATTTTTGAAAGAAGTCTCCCGATTCTCACCAAGGCTGCTGTTGCTTGATTAAAAAAAACAGTGATATTGTGAAACATCATTACAATTTAAAATAACTGTTTTCTATATATTTTAAAATGTAAAAGTGTCTTCAGTGTCACACGATCCCTCAGAAATCACTCTAAAATGCTGATTTGCTGCTCAAGACATTTCTTACTAAAAACAGATGTTGCTGAATATTTCTTTTTAAGGATTGGAAAAATCAAAGGAACAGAATTTATTTTAAATAGAAATATTTCATAACATTATAAACGTATTTACACTTTGGAACAATTTAATGCATCCTTGCTGAAAAAAAAATGTTTCTTTCAAAAAACTTCATCTTACAGGCCTCAAACTTTTGAATGATAGTGTTTAGATAAAGGATTGATGAACAGCGCCTTACCAGTATGTATGTGGAGTTTGTATCGGTGTTGTTGAGCACAGAAAGCGCTCTGATCTGAATCCTGAAAGCAGGTGGAGCATCGATGAACACGCGACAGCTCTGAGTGTTAGAGGTGGCTGCGCTCTTGATCGGATTCTCAATGAGCCCAGACGGAGAGAACAGCTGAACGTCACACTCTTGGAGGAAGATACATGCTGTGTTACATCCTTTCAGATTATTTCACTTTGCCTAACTGCACCCTTTAATGAAAATTCTGTCATCATTTGTTCACCTTATGTCTTTCTTTGTTCTGTGGAACAACTTGTGTTGTATGTAAAGGAGCAAAAACAGTAATATTGCGCAATGTTATTACCATTTTACCACTATTTTAATATATTTTCAAATGTAATTTATTCCTGTGATAGTAAAGCTGAATTTTCAGCATCATTGCTCCAGTCTTCAGTGTCACATAATCCTTCAGAAATCATTCTAATATGCTGCTCAAGAAACATTTAT